CTTTCAGCTATAACTCTTCCTTGTTTTCAAAAGTCAAATACATGGTATACAGATAACCCAACCAAATGACAAGAAGAATTAGGCATTCCTGGTTAAAAAGAGTCAAGAAGTCAGTAATCGAATTCTTATTTAGAAAGTTTCACATACAGCAAGGTAATGTTTAATTTTATTAAACATCTGGAGGAAATGCAAACAGTGTTTAATGCTGGCATGTACCAGGGGATCTACAGGAATGATCAATGTGTTCTTAGGAGCTAGGGTCCTATAGGATGAAATTCCTGAAGGATTCTCTCAGCAGGAATGATATAAATTAAGTAGTAATAACACAAAAATGAGAAAAAACTGGAGTAAGAAGGGGGCACAGGAAAGAAACATGAAGAACACATAGTCTAGATTTTTTTCTTTGCTAGGAGCATAGTGTGCAAAGACCACAGTATATAGCAACCAAAAGAATTGGCTTTTCCAAGTATATAAAAAACAAAACTTTTTTTATTTCCTAGTGATTTCCACTTGGTATTTTGTATTATTTATTCCTTGAAGATGTTACACAATAACTTGTGAAGTTAAGATTGGTTGGAGGTGGTAAAAAAGGTAAATAGATAGATACATGCTGATAGATACACAGCGTATAAAGAAGTTTTCTTTTTAGGCTCAGAGAGAATTTAAGAGTGAGATTGAAATTTTCACTTTTTTTTTTTTTGTTTGCTACATTTGTATTGGTTCTTTCCATCACCCTCTGCATCCCAGCTGTACCCTTCAGGTACAGGTTAAATAATCTTTTCTTATGGTAGACTATATGTATGTGACCAATAAACCTCTGCTGACACAAAACAAGCCCTGGAATTTATCATGAACTGGAGGTGGGGGGAGGTGTTCTCCCTCTGAGACACAGTGACAGATAGCTAGCCAGCCTCTCCTCTGGCACTAGGACCCACTCAGCCTTGTTTTTTTTAGGTCATCCTCATATATCAGTGGCCAGGTGCAGGGTTCCTTCTGAAAGAGAGTAGGAATGAGCTATGATAATACCTAGGAGCAGATTTTCTATGTCTCTTATTTAGTCAAGATTTTGGAGACTAACATATGATTAGATTACTGTTATATGTATTATAAAGCTGCTATAATTTACAGTAGGTTTGCAGAGAAACAGTCAATGGATGATCATCAATTTAAACTGTAAATAACAGCCTGCTTTCTTCTAGACTGTGATCCCAATGATGCCCCTAACAAGCTGCCTGCAAAGCCAGGGCATGATGCCCGCTGTTGAAGACATGATGATTGAAAAACTGCCCTTGTCCTTGCAAACAGCTAAAACTAGCAATAAGAATATGAAGGCAAAGATAGGATTTGGGGAATGCAGACGGTGACCATGATGCTATCAGTTTTATTCAGTTGTTCCCACTGTTGTAAATGCAGAGGAAAGTATCTGGTACAAAAGATTTTAACTTGTTAGATAGCACTCTAGAGACCTGAAAGAATTAATACAACTTTTTAAAAGAGCTTGCCCTTTTCACTGGAGGATAGCAGAAGTCCTTGGAGAACTGGAGCAAACTTGAATGCCTTTGTTCTACATAATTAATAGAGCATGATATTTCTTTCTTCTCCCTCCCTCTCTTAACATAAACTCTCATTGATTGGGGAAAATATATTCACACTTTAAAATGTTATACAAGTACTATCTTTTGGTTAAAATATCTCCCCTGGGGAAGGGGGAGTATATATTTCATAGTGATAAACTCACCTCATAAGTAGAAAAATTGTACATAAATATATTGCTATGTCAACTGTATTGATTTTTGTACCATTGTAAAGACCTTCATTGTCCTCCAATATTTCTTAAATCTATCAGCATCTCAGAAAGTGACCCTGAAGGCCTCATTTATCTGTAGAGGAAAAGATACCTTCCTTTAGGTGCACTCATAAACGTTGTGATTTAAACAGCTCAGGACCACATCTGCTTCTGGAAATTAAGCCCAGAGAAAGCTATTCCCTCACAGTCATGGAAACACTACTATTTTTCTAGAACTACAATGTGCAAAGTCTTAAGATCAGATAAATATCTGTTGGACAAATGCCCTGTTTACAGTCCTTCAGACAACTGTGGACTAATTATGCAGCCTGATTAATATTGGTGTATTGAATTGAGTGGATTTAATGATAGGGCTCTTTGTCTCTAAGTTTATCTTCCTGTTTTAGGAATTACTTCTGGTCTTAAAAATCTTACTCTTTAAATCCAATTACTACTAACAATTTTGATTCTCTGGATCACCACCATATATTCTGCAGCTACAAAAAAGCTTATAATCACATTCAGTATTTGGTATTTTATTTTTTATCATGTTCTTCTCTAACAACATCAATAAAACAAGAACTATCACTAGATTAGAACAATTCCAAGGTCTCTTTCAGTTGTAAATTCTGTTGTGTTTGCCTATATGACTTTACAAATAGAGAGAATGTAGATGACATACCCAAACTGACTCGTTAGGTGGAAGCAGATTCCAGGCAGGGACTTGTATTCCTGAATCTTAGCTCAAAGATCTTTCAATTACCAAAAGTAATACTGTATTTACTATTAGAAGATAGGACCTCTGAAGATGGGATGCTGGCTTATTTCTCTTTATATTCTATGGTACGTAGCATATTGCCTAGGATACAGTTTGCTGATTGTTAAATTAAATTTACTAAAAATGCGAACTAGAAGAAAAAATCAATAGGAATTACAAAAATCAATTCAAAGATAACAAACAACTAAATCTCACTATAAAAATAAAAGATATAAGTTCAGTTTCTCAATTTGAGACTGCCTACAGCAGATAAAAGTTGTTTGGATACAATTGTTGATAAAGTAACCAGCCAGTCAGGAGATGAGAGGATGTTCAGAGTACAGTTCTAAATTTGTGAGGTTAACATTACTGAGCTGTGTCTGATACTGTGGCCATCAGTCACATGTGGCTATATAAATTTAGATTAATTACAATGAAATGAAATTAAAAATTCATTTACTCAATTACACTAGTCATATTTCAAATAATAGCCACCAGTTGTTAGTGTCTAAAGTCAGGGACAACTTTAGAAAACATTTCTATCAACCAAGAAAATTGTGGTGGACACAGAAAGTTCTGGTGGATAAAAGAATGAAGTGAAGAGAAAACATTAAGTCTTTATTATTTTGTTTTAAGCACTTGAAGTGCCTAATTTCACATAATTCTTACAATTTCCTGCATGAGGTAGGCACTATAATTATCCCATTTCAAATTTAATGCCACCTTGTTTGGAGACCTTAAGTAGATGACCATACATATACACTTGGTAATTGGCTTAGTGAGACTTTCGCTCAAGTCATCTGACTTCAGAGTCTATGCTCAACTGAAAAGTAATGCTGTTTCTACTGAAAAACTTAAAATGCTTACAGCCAGAGAGAATATTACACTTTATATTAGTGGTTCTTAATCCTAAATACATATCAGAAGCATCTGGAGAGCTGTCTCAAGACATAGCTACCTGAGTCCTAATCCAGAGCAACAAAGGCAGGGCTAGAGCTTGCACATTTGGGGACCACCTAATCCTTTTGGTATGTAGCCAAAGTTGAGAGTGATTGCTTGAGAGATGTTCTCATCACCTTCCATGGTCCAGATGACAAAATGCAGAACTTACCCAAGATCACTAACAGTATCTAATGAAAAATATGAGATGGGAAAATAGCTACTATCATAACAGAATATGGCTAAGGATATATTAATAAATGACACTTTTTCTATTTTCTGATGAATAATATTAGTTCATTTAACCTAGGTAATATTTGATAATGCAAGCTATAAAAACAAAGGTATGGATGTAGCATGACATTCCTTCAAAGACACATATGTTTTTCTCAGTTGAAATCTAACATTTTCTTTAAAAAAAAAATTAACATCTCTGAAGACTAGATAACCCTCTTAATAGAAGGATGATGTAGTGGAAAAAGTATGACTGTTAACCAAGACACTTGAATTCTAATTTCAATTGTGGCCGTAACTCAGTCGTGGAGACCAGTCATTTCTTTTTTCTGAACCTAAGTTTTCTCATCTGTAAAATAAGAGTGCTTTGTATTATGATCTCCAAGACTTCTTGCAGCTGAGATTCAAATTCAGAAAAGACTAATCTCACCATTCTTTCCAAACTACTCTCTTCTGCCAAATGCATCGCCTCCATCCTGACATTTGTGTGTAGGCTGAAAAAACTTTATTTTTAAAATTTTTATGATGATGATTATTTTGAGTCAGAGACTCACTCTGTCGCCCAGGTTGGAGTTCAGTGGCACATTCATGGCTGCTGCAGCCTTGACATGCTGGGCTCAGGTGATCCTTCTGCCTCAGCCTTCCAAGTAGCTGGAACAACAGGTATGCACCATCATGCCCAGCTAAATTTTTTTATTTGCTGTAGAGATGAGGTCTCGCTATATTGCTCAGACTTTTCTCAAATCCCTGGGCTCAGGCAATCCTCTTGCCTTTACCTCCCAAAGTGCTGGGATTACAGGAGTGAGCCACTGTTCCTGGCCTGAACAAACTTTAAATATGAAACTTCCTACCTGCTATAGGATAATGCATTCACTTAAATTCTAGTTAGTCTATATGTATTCCGTGTTGAGAGAAAACTGGGGCATCAGATGAAAACACTTCTTCTTTGCTGTCTTGTCAAGGCTCATTCTGATTCTTGTGATTGATTGGTCAGAGCTCTTATGAGAGAGTGAGTAGCACACATTCAACAAGACTCATTCCTTGTAGCTGCTTTCTGGAAATGGTAATCATCTGTCTACCCCTCGTTCGTTCGCCTATGCTCACAGCTACTGATCTTAAAATTATGATGTATCAGACATTTTACAACCTTCAGACCCATCAGCTCATCTTTGCATTTCTAATTCCAGCTTCACTATAATGGATTTTTAGGTAGCTAGAGAGGCTAGCCAACCAAGACAGAAGTCACATCATGAATAAGTAGTATGCCAAATATATGTTTCTTACCTTACGCTTGTTGGTAGGACACACATAGAGATAGCTCAAAATTGTTTTCAAACCAACTTTATCATTCAGCTTCTCATATGTTGTTCCATAATCAGTTGACCTGTAATTCGAAAGGAGCATTAATGAGGACAGAAGTATACGTCATTGGTATAATGCATGTTTTACATAGTAGAATGACTCTCGGAAGGTTTCTAAATGATTCCTGTAGTATATAATGATGCTTAATTATGTACACAGTAGCATCATGTGAGTGGTTAAAATTTGCATTTAAATTGAATTGGTAAAAATTAAAACTCCATCTCTCCACTGCTCCTTAATGTATGCACATTGAATAAAGAATGTGGTTAATTTAAAAAGATTAAGGCATTAGGGTGTCCCTTGAATTGACCAAAGACTTAAGAGTTTTTAGTTAGATATAACATTTCCAAACTTTTGCTTTATCTTTGGCACAGTAGAAAAGCAGGTTCTTCTGATTTATTTACATATTATGTTTTCTTTTATGAGTCAGAGAATATATACTGGGTTATTCCCTTCAAAGGTCATTCAGTCTTTTCCTGCTATTTAAGAGCAAGAAAATGTCTCAATAATAAGTGAAATTTCACAACCATAGTCCATGGCTTTTTCCAGTATTTAGCAACCTAGAGTTGGGAGGCTATTACTTCTTGACACTGACTCTGACTTCTGGCAGAGTCTCTCAACTTCATTGAACCATTGGTCAATAACATATTAATTCAGATTAAATAAATAGGGTTAATCATCTTCTCCATGAAGGCCTACTCCATATTTCAAAAATTTTATCTTATTAGACCATCTTGACAACCATGTATACTAGGGATTACTTGTATTTGATGAAAGTGGTTGAGAGAACTTCAATGACGTGGTCAAATAAATAAATAAATTTTCTGATAAATGGGGCATCTAGAATTTGAATCCAGTCATTTTGGCCATGAGCCCTATACTGCTTTCATTAATCTCAGCTTTCTTTCCTTCCTTCCTTTTTTCCTTCCTTCCTTCCTTTCTTGTTATTTAATTTAAAGAAGACAGTTGCCAGACATGGTAGGTCATGCCTGCAATACTAGCACTTAAGGAGGACAAGATGAGATGATTACTTGAGGCCAGGAGTTTAACACCAACCTGGAAACATAGTGAGACCTCATCTCTACAAAAAAATAACAAAATTAGCCGAGTGTTGGGGTGCACACCTATAGTCCTAGCTACTCCAGAGGCTGAGGGAAAAGGATTACCTTAGCCCAGGAAGTCAAGACTGCAGTGAACTGTGGTTGTGCCACTGCACTCCAACCTGGGTGACAGAGTAAGACTCCAACTCAAAATAAAATAATAAATATAAAGACAGACACAAAATTTCCTTTCAAAGTTCTTTTTTTTTTTACATAGGAGATTGCCGATAGCATTCATTCATTCATTTATTCACATTTGTAGAATTCCTAAAATGTACTACTATACTACACAGCAAACAGCCTCCACTCCTAACTATATCGCAGCTTTATTTTGGAAAAAGAAATATAAACAGCTAGTTATAATGTGTTAAGCACAAGGATAGAGATATAAATGAACAATGCTTAGAAAATAAAGTTGGCTTAATTAGAAAAACACAAAAATGTAACAGTTTAAATTCATTTCTGATACCGATAAAAGTTAAAAATGCTTACAGGTTATCGTTACTAAATAGAAGCACATGCCAACAAACTTACTACAATCCATTAAATGTTAACAACCTTTCATCCATCCATTTGGGTCATACTCTAGACCAAACACTGGAGCAAGAAAACTGTATAAAAATGATTCTGGAATTAGAAAGTAAATTTTCTTCTTAAAACTTATACACAGATGATAAGTACAAAAGAGTCAATACTTTAGAGGATTTAAATGACATTTCTCATCACTGAGGAATGGGGTAGTAAACAAAGCTTTTCTTTTCTTTCTTTCTTTCTTTTTTTTTTTTGAGAGGATGTCTCTCTATGTTTCCCAGGCTGGTCTCAAACTCCTCATCTCAAATGATCCTCACACCTTGGCCTCCCAAAGAACTGGGATTACATATGTGAGCCACCGCACCTGGCCTAAAACTTCTTAAAAGAACCATGAACTTTGAAAATGGGTAAGTTTAGAAAAGGGAAATAGAGCATCATAGACTAGACAGCACCATGTACAATAAAACTATATAATTGGTTTTCTTCAGGACCAGTGTCTGCACTACCACAATCAAATACTGGTTTGAAACCAAGAATATTTGAGAAACAGTCCAGAACTCTCTCATAGGAGATCTTATTCATGAGCCACGACAAAACTTCTTAAAATCCTCCTTCCATATCTATCTTTTTCTCCTCCAATTTATGACTGATGTGAGGAGATTTACTGTCTAAAAAATATCTGAGATTTCTACCTCACCCAGTCTACTATTGGTATTGGCCCACTTTTAGCTTACACTTACCAGAGCCAACATTCTCTTTCTACCAGGTCCTGCTTGCCTTCAAAATCTTGCTAGTCTTATGCTAGCTCCTTTTATTGTATAGTTGTTTTTCCTATTTTCCTATTTTGATTCATTATTCTGAACAATACTCACAAGCTTGAGACTAAACAGAGATCCAAAACTTACCTGAGAAGTAGTGAAAGGAGGATGAAGTTTGTAACTGCTGCTACATTAATAAATTTAGCTTAGTGATAGGTGGAAATCAGTAGGGCTACTGAGGACTACTGGAGATAAGAGAATGGTTCAATTTTCCTAGCTGAATAGTGAGAAAGAAGGCTACAAAAAAGGAACCAATCCTTTTACAGAGGGTGTTGATGAGTTTTTTACAGTTTCTATTAACTTGATTCCTGAGCTACATACAAAGACAAATGAGTTATTCTATAAGGATTCTATATAGAAGCATCTTTATTTGCATGTGTGTATGTGTTTGTGTAGATGAATGAGTGGGTGTGTATTTAACTCTAATCCCAGTGTGACAAGATGACAAAAGTATGACTGACTCAGATTTACATTAATACTTCTTTTCCAGAGAGCTTACAATACTTGTACTACATTATTGGAAATTTTTCTCTATTATAACAATCCTTGTCAACCCATCCAGATACCTCAAGGTATTAGCCATTATTTTTTGTGCCATCTCCATTTCTTGATTTTACAAAGCTCAAAAATTGAGCAAAAGTTTGTTAATTCTCCATTCCAGCAGAGCTAGATGTTTAAAAATTATGAGTTTGTAATAAGCAATTGATAAAAAAAGAAAAAAATGCACTTTCACAAACCCAAGTTGTATAGATTAGCAGTTGTCCAAAGGTGTCCCACAGAACTAGAATTAGAGTGTTGACAGTTGTCATGGGTAGAACTAACAATCAGTTGGCATACATAGGTATAGTGGAACAGGAGTGAAAATATTAAATATTTGCAAACCAGAGGGTATATAGTTACTGTATCAAGTTCTCTGAGTAGTTGCTCCTGCTGGCCTCATCACCATGATGTGTCAGTCAGATACCTTCTAGGTCTCCTCAGAGTCTAGCAACCGATAAGACTGAGGGCTGGCGCAGTAGAAATCTTCCAGAAACTTGCTCCAGTACTAAGACCAGCATTTGTGCTTACTGGCCAGTGCTTATGCCAATTAGCCTGAACCCCACTGAGGAAGAACTTGGAATGGCACTACACCCTGGAGAGCAATTCCTAGTGCCCATCTGCAAACTCTGATTTACAGCTAAAAGACGCTTCCAGATATACCTCCATAGTCAACTGTGAAATCTAGGCTCCTAGGGATGTGAGTTCTGAAAGAGCAGAGGAGACAGAAAGGTTTGAGCAGCAGATTGGCTGGTAAGTCCATGTGCCAGCTAGAGATATTAAATATCATCCCTAGGTATGGGAGAGAGGGATATTTTCCAAGATCAAAAAACATTGGATTAATGTTTGATTAAGCAACATTTAATGTTCCTTTACTTTGTAAATTTTCACAAATTGCATTATTTTAATATCACTGAACCTCTTAAATGCATATTTCATATAGCATTTTCCAAACATATTTGATTATAGGATTTATTCTTGAGGGATATCTAATGAGATTAGTGTTCTGAGTAACCCACTTTGGAAAACAATATCAAAGAACAAGAAAAAGAAAGAAAGATGTAGATCTTGGCTTTTTAAGAAAGGGGAAACAATAAAAACATTTTTAATAGCCGGGCTCGGTGGCTCAGCCTGTAATCCCGCGCCTTTGGGAGGCTGAGGTGAGTGGATTGCCTGAGCCCGCGGGTTCGAGACCCGCCTGGGCAGCGAGACCTCATCTCTACAATAAATCAAAAAATCAGCCTGGCGTGGTAGCACATGCTTGTAATTCCGGCTACTCGGAAGGCTGAGGTGGAAGGATCGCTGGAGCCCAGCAGGTCGAGGCTGTGGTGGCCGGAAGCGGCCACTGCACTCCAGTCTGGGCGACAGAGTGAGACTCCAACTCAAAACAAAACAAAACAAAACAAAAAAACATTTTTAACAAATGAAATATGCAAACAGGAATGCCAGCCTGTGCTAACCATAAAGTGATTGCTGTTGTAATAGAATAAAAAAAAGGAAGGGATCTCAAAGTATCTATCATATACAGTCATAATTGAAGCAACATATGCAGCCTTGGATTTTCACTTGTACCATTTTAAAAAATGTTTCAAAGCAAGCATTTTTATTTTTAGGTTTTGTTTTCACGTTGACTTGTCTGTAGATGAAAAACAGAGCTTCTGTCAACACCTATACAGTGCCAGAAGAAAGCTAAAAAAAAAAAAATAATAATAAGCTTAAAAAATAAGCATTCCAGAAAAATAAATATGCAAGTGATTAATCAGGGCTTGTTTCCTTTTGTTTTTGATCTTTAATCCTTAGTCTACCCTTTTTACAAATATATCTTAATGATTTTTATAATATTTAAAAGCTTGTCTTTATTTAGATATTTACTGTGTATGTAGAGATGAAATGAGTTGTTCTGAGTAATGGAACAACCACATCCGACGCATCCCACCTACCTTTCAAGAGCTTATGATCTTTCTGTAATGGCAAAATGTATTGCACTTGAAGAAGGGGTCAATACAGGCTGCGACTGGTTTCCACTAAGAGTTGCA